ATGGGTTTTATTACAATATTTCTGTATTTTTATTTTTATTTTTTTGTAGCTATTGTGCATATTGCCGATAGGATTTGTTTTTGAATTTTGGTATCTTTATTTTTCATTTTTTTGGGTAAATTTATTTTGAATTTTTTAATATAATTACATTAGAATTTATTGGTGGTTTTATTTTTAATTTTAGTCAAAACGAGATTTTAATGGCCATTCTTTCATTGATTAGTCTACACTTTATAATAGTCCATGTATAATTATATATTTTATCCATGACAATTCTATGATTTTTTTTTTATGTGATGCAAATTTAATATTTAAGGTTATACAGGGAAAGAGCATCTCAATATATACAAATTGATGAGAAAAATGAAAGTTAATAATGTAGTACCATCATTTCTTATTGGATTCCTAAAAAACAACATTTATAATGAATTTTAATCATTTTTTTTGATTTTTTTGAAGCTTTAATCCGATCGATTCAGCCGATTCCCGATCTGGATCGCCATTTCGCCGATCCAAATCGGTTTTTGAGATGCCCGATCCGAGTCACCGATCCGCTTTTTAAACCATTGGTTAAAAGCAGTGTTTCAAAAAACGGCGAGTCGGTTTGACTCGAAAACACGCGTGCCCGTGCTGGTTCCAACCAAAAATCGGGAACCGCCCGGTTCTAGAGTGGAACCGCCGGTTCCCATCTGGTTCAGCCCGATTCACACGCGCACATGTGTGTCGAGCGCAAGTGCAAGCGTGCCCCACACACACTCACACGTGCATACGTGTCCAAGCGCTCGTGCGAGCGTGCCCCACGCACACTCACCCATCCGGTTTAGCCCGGTTAACACGTGCACACGTGAGCGCACGTGCGAGCGTACCACACACGCACTCACACGTGCACATATGTGTCTGAGCACACGTGCGAGCGTGCCCCACACACACTCACACGTGCACACGTGTGTCCGAGCACACGTGCGAGCGTGCCCCACACACACTCACACGTGCACACGTGTGTTCAAGCGCACGTGCGAGCGTGCCCCACGCACACTCACTCATGCACACGTGTGTCCGAGCGCACGTGCAAGCGTGCCCCACGCTCGCTCACTC